ACCAGAATATTCTTTTACACAAACTTAAACTTTTTATGGAATAGGAGGCAAACGAGCAGACGGATCACTTGATGGTAAGCGATCAGCGCTGCTCAAGGACACTCGCAACACCGCAACTGCCTCGACACTGAAATACGGAATAAATTGTATGCACATTATTTTTATGGGATAAGCTGGTAAACGGGCAGACGGATCACCTGATGAAGCAATCGGCGTCGGCCATGGACACCCGAAAAACCAGAGGCGTTACAAGTGCGTTACCGGCCTTTTGGGAATTAGGAATTTGAGGATTGTGGGGGATTCGGGGATTGGGGAGACTGGGGAAGGGGGTAATTGGGCCTCGGGTAACCTCACTCACACGACGAAACACAACGCAAGCGTTGTTTCACGTCTGTTTTCTGTGAGGCCGTGGTATCACTCCGGTCGAGCCGGCCCATTCGTGTCGAACCATGGCTCGCCCACACTTAACAATTTGCAATTCTCTTAGGCAGAAGTCAGCACAAACTGCAATCAACACTATCAATTAATATTATTCATACTGCAGTTAGAAACAGCATCTTAAACTACCTCATCTTGTGCCAATCTCTGTAGCAATTATACAGTGCAATATAGCCTCCTTGCTCAGTAGCCACTGATGGACAAATGAATGGCTCCCATTTATAACGCTCACAGACCCAATGTGGTATCTGTCTTACATTTAAAATGGAGTTTCGAATGAAATCGGATCTCTAATGTGAATTTAAAGATAATCGGAAAGCTATCCAAGGTTTGTGTTTGAGATTCGAGATTTCTTTTAAGAAATTTAGGAATTTGGTAGTAGACTGATTACATGGACATCTTTCGAATGATGATGAGGATGATCCTAGCTGATGGCTGATTAGGTACGAAACTTAGCTTTACTGACAGACAGATGGACGGACAATTCAATCCTTAACGATTCACATAATAACATCACGCCTTTAATCCCCGAAGAGGTAGGCAGAGGTGCACATTATGCCACTGTAAAATGTAACACCCACTTTTCACTATTTATGTTATGAGTCCCATGTAATAGGGGGTGAGCCTATTGCCATATACTGGGCACAACCCAGACTCCGTGCTACTACTGAAATTTTTGAAAAAACCCGGTAAGACTTTGCCCGACCCGGGAATCGAACCCGAGACCCGTTGCCCGGCAACCGCACTTGCGACCACTCGGCCAACGAGGCAGTCAACAAAGAACAATACAGATACCTACTAACGTACGTAATGTAAACGTGTCGTGGTAGCCCGGAGGTTAGGACGACGAAGCCTACCAACGGCAAGTACGCAAGTATCAATGTGACTTTTTCCCAGTTATATGTAGATTATTTAGACACCACTGACAAACGGTGAAGGAAAACTTCGTTAGGAAACCTGGACTTAGAATTTCTAATTATAAGTTTGAAATCGCCAACCCGCAATGAGCAAGCGTGGTGATTAATGCCCAAACCTTCTCCGCGTGAGAAGAGGCTTTGCTCAGCAGTGGGTATTTATAAGCTGTTGATATATGATGTGATGTAAAAGTATTTTTTATATAATTATGCAATTACAAAAAACACAAAAAAATATGAAGCACGAAGTCACTTCTACGGTCGCCTGCATTCCTATCCTCAAGAGTGTTTGCGATTCATTTTGCCAACAATCAAAAATCTCACGGTCGTTGCACATCACGAGTTTGACAAAAAGAAGATAGAGGGCAGAGGGAGTTGGGGGAACATGCAAACATTCCCGAGGTGATAATATCGATCCTATGGCGAACCACTGGACTATGAACGGGAAAATTTGTGAATGTGGATGCAAATTTGTTTTTTAGAAATTACTTAACAGATTTCAATGAAATTATGTAAATATGATCTTTTTAAAGGGGGGAAAATAATCGAATGTCTTCTTCCGCTTGGGTAAAGGCGGGAGGGAGTGTCAGACTCTTACTGACTAAAAACCACCCCGTTCCTACTCCTGCAATTCGACCCGGAGCCCCGGCAACCCGTTAAGTCCTCCGCGGCTATGAAATGTGTTGTGATTATTGTATTTTGACAATTAGTAATTTTATAAATTGTGTTGGTATTCTTGCCTATTTAATAATGAGGTGATCATGAAGTCTCAAGATTCTGATATGATATTATAAATGAAAATAATGTTGGATCTTTTTTATGGCATAAACGGGTAGACGGATCACCTGATGGTAAGCAATTGGCGTCGCCCATGGACACCTGGAACACCAGAGGCGTTACAAGTGCGTTATCGGCCTTTTGGGGATTAGGAGTTTAAGGATCGTTGGGGATTCAGGAATTGGGGACATTGGGGAAGGGGACATTCCGTGGTGTCACTCCGGTCAAGCCGACCCATTCGTGCCGAAGCATGGCTCTCCCATACAATCACACTCACATGGATCTCGCGATTATTATTATTTGTCAATAAATTAAATAAGGTAATGAATTCTGCTTTAGCTCTAATATATGTTGAAAAACTATACTATAGATATGAATGAAGTTATATTACAAACCAATCTATACTTATAATAAATCTGTAGAGAGGTAAATTCTGTACATAAAATATATTTAATAAATAACTATCAAGGGGTGGTTAGGGATCGCTACTGATGCCAAAAATGCAATCAGTAAAATTTTTGTCTGTCTGTCTGTCTGTCTGTATGTTCGTTATGGAAACAAAAACTACACGATGGATTTTAACGAAATTTGGCACAATTATTGTTCATACTCTTGGGCAGGTTATAGTATACTTTTCATTACGCTACGATCAATAGGAGCAGAGCAGTGAAGGGAAATATTGGGAAAACGGGAGAAGTTACTCCATTTTTTAAACTTCCGTCGCGTGTGCAGGTTTATAGGTTAAAGCTGCATAGAAATCATGTTAATGACGAAAATATTCTCCTTAAAATTATATAAAAAATATTCCTGGACAGCATATGTCTATCTTTTATGGTTGACTCACAATAACACGTGAAACTCCCGATAGCTTAGCAATTCGGTGATTTCTGATTGTATTTGTCTACTCTAACGTTCACAATACTCATTCATAGACTTTACACTGTAACTTAAAGGCCAATGGTTGAAATTAGCTTGACTCGATATTATAAATGAAAATATGTGAGTTTATGTGTATGTTTGTTACTGATACATAGGCATTTTACCCCTGGGATCGCGGGCGAAGCCGCTGGCAGAAGCTAGTCTATAATAATGTGTGAAAGTCGTGGTGGCCCGGAGGTTTAAGAATGTCGTGGTGGCCCGGAGGTTTAAGACGTCCACTTCTCATGCATGAGGGTGCGGGTTCGAAACCTACCAACGAAGTACCAATGTGACTTTTTCCGAGTTATATGTACTTTCTAAGATTATTTAGACACCACTGACAAACGGTGAAGGAAAAAACACTTATAATTTCTAATTATAAGTTTGAAATCGCCAACCCGCATTGAGCAAGCGTGGTGATTAATGCTCTAACCTTCTCCGTGTGAGAAGAGGCTTTGCTCAGCAGTGGGCATTTATAGGCTGTTGATGAGGATTGATGATCTATCATAATCAGCAGTACACGTGTCTTCCAATCATTTCCAACTTGTACAGAATACATTATACAAATAGCAGGTTCCATTACCATCTCAATAAAAACAGAAAGATAGTAGATAAGAGAGATAAGTACAAAATTATAATGTTAGAATTAAACCGTGTCTACACTTGGCATCTTTTGGTAGGCGATATGTTGCCCTACATGTTGATAACATCATCACGCCTTTTGTCCTCGAAGGGGAAGGCAGAGGTGCACATCATGCCTCTGTACAATGTAACACTTTTCACTATTTATTCTTCTTATGCTTCTATTTATTTAAGGCTGTGTTCTGACTTTCAACAAGTAGAGCAACATGTTGTGCCACAAATCGGATGGCAAATGTTGCTAAGTAAATACGAGGCTTTATAAAGTTAGCATTAAACAGAATCGAAAACTTTTTTATCTTTCAAAGAATATTAATACGGACTCCATTTCATTTCCCAGCTATTTCTAAGTTAATAAAAAACGAAGAAATATTATTTAAGTAGAGAGATACTGTTGCTGAATGAATACTTTTAATGATATTCTGTTTCTTTGGTCTCGTTGTTGAGTTAATGTATTATAGGAACGTCTTTGGTTCGATTTCTAGCAGCGATTATTGGTTATTTCAGTTTTCACAATACTGGTGATCTGAGGATCTGTCTCGTTGGCCGAGTGGTCGCAAGTGTGACTGCCGCAAGGGGTCTCGGGTTCGATTCCCGGGTCGGGCAAAATATTACTGTGTTTAAAAAAATTATTCTCAGTAGTAGCACGGAGCCTGGAATTGTGCTATATGGCAATTACATGGCATTATTACATGGGACTCATAACATAAATAGTGAAAAGTGGGTGTTACATAGTCCCAACAGTGGCATAATGTGCACCTCTGCCTACCCCTTCGGGGATAAAAGGCGTGATATTATAGTGATCTGATGATTTTGTTTACTACTGATGATGAAAAATAGCTGGTACACATTTGACATAAGGTTCTCCGAAAGTCATAAACTGCATCGTCATTTTGAATGCAAAACATCATGTATGGTAACACAACTGGCAAAAGTTACCTTCCCTACAAAAAGCTAATAAATAATGTAAAAATATCGTATCGTTATGTAAAATTATAGTATCGTTATTTAGTAATATTGATAATGTATCTTATGTAATTTATATTATACCTATATATACGGATATATGTATATATTTACAGTTATGCATAATCATAAATTTATTTATATAGATTTTTCTGTCACATATACCATTATATCTACACACCTACTGTTGCACATCTCTGCATCACCCCATGGTTGACTGTTAGAGAATGCCACCCGGCATTAAGTCCGCCATCGTATGTTATTATACAGAAGTGTCAATAAAATAAAATAAAAATAAATAAATAAAAATCATATCGGAAATTAATTCAACCTTTATGTTTGTTGCAGTTCAACTTTGTGGGCAAACTGCTGGGTCCTAAAGGAAACTCCTTGAAGAGGTTACAGGAAGACACCATGTGCAAGATGGCGGTCTTAGGACGGGGCTCGATGAAGGATAGGCAGAAGGTGAGCTATTTTTGTTAGTTACAAGAATTTAACTAAGAAAGAATTATATACATACTAGCTTTTACCCGCGGCTTCGCTCGCGTCACAAAAGTATAAAAAGTAGCCTATGTGACATATACCAATACATACAGCGCCATTTATACCAATACTTTTGTTTTCCCTCGGGAATATCAAATTTTTTCGGGATAAAAAGTACCCTATTATGTAATCCAGACTACTAACTTTACGTCTGCAAAAATTCAATGCAATCGGTTTAGTAGTTACGGCGTGAAGTCGGAACAAACAAACAAACTTATTTTCCGATTTATAATATTAGTAAGGATAATTTTCAGGGATGCTGTACGCTAGCTTTCTCAGTAAAGCTAATTTTTTATCATTCTAAATGTGGTCCTCACATCAATTATTTTGACAAAAAATATCTAATTTGGTGCAGCCGTTCTGAAGTTGGAAGCCCATATACATTTATACAAACATACAGGAGTAAGAGAAAATGCTAGTTACTATGTTTTAATATTATCGAGCCTTGTCTTGATAATAACACAAAATAAATAAAATAATATAAAACTTAGAAGCGCATACATTCTAACATTCATTTCATGTTAAAAGATATATCATAAAATAATTGCAAAGAATGAAAACATATTTTATAATATGTTTTGTAGAACTGCCTCGTTGGCCGAGTGGTCACAAGGGTGACTGCCGGGCAAGGGGTCTCGGGTTCGATTCCCAGGTCGGACAAAATATTATATGGTTTTTAAAAAATTCTCAGTAATAGCACGGGGTCTGGAATTGTGCCCGGTATATGGCAATAGGCTCACCCCCTATTACATGGGACTCATAACATAAATAGTGAAAAGTGGGTGTTACATAGTGCAGTGGCGTTAAGTGCCGTAATGTGCACCTCTGTCTACCCCTTCGGGGGAAAAAGGCTTAATGTTATTCTTCATTATTAATCCAATTTACTCTTCCAGGAGGAAGAGCTCCGTGTGTCAGGGGATCCGAAGTTTGCTCATCTGTCTGATGAACTCCACGTTGAGATCAGCGCCTTCGCTACACCAGCTGAAGCACACGCCAGGATCGCGTACGCACTGGCTGAACTTAGGAGATTCCTAGTACCGGTAAGTTCCTATACCAACGCTCGAATGCTGAAAGGCTACTCAATATTTAGTTGCAATAGAGTAGATGCCTAATTTTTATTTCAATGCCCGTCTGGTAAATTACTTTTACATAAACGTACAGTATTAAAATATGTATCAGACTTTGTAGAACATACTTTTTTAAAAGAGAGTAACGAATGGAGTTTCTTACTCGTTCTTCTCCATTCGAATCTACATTTTGGAATGAGCACCTAGCTTCATCTAGTTTCACTGACAGACTGACTGACAGACTATTATTTATTTTCTATTTGTTGACGTTTCAAAAGTACCAAACTATATTTTTTATTTTCTTACAAAAACAAATAGTTTCGACGATATATTGATTTGAAATGTCGCGTGACGTCACTTCTATGTACATTTTAAACGTAGAAATGACGTTTCAGCCCCCACTCTTAAACTTTGATTCGTTTTATCTAGGTACTATTTTAGCATCCAACAAAATAAAAAAAATACGTGTCTAATATTTTTTCATTACCTAACTTACGGACCAAATAGATTTTTAATTTTCGTACCCCTTCATCATCCCAATTAAATATCATGTCATCTCTGTCATTTTACGAAGAATTTGCAGAGATAGAACTATACTTAAGCGTGACTTAGAATGCAATCAGTATTCGGGCGCCAGTCTAGAAAATAATTTGATGGAATTGAATTGAAAAGAAAATGACATCATTAAATCTTCAAAATAAGAGGTACTCATACTTTTACCTTCTGTAGTGTTCCGCATCAACATAGATTTCTTACAATCGGGCGATTTGTCTGCTTATTAGCTTCATTCTATAGAAAATAATCTACTTGAATTACCATATATTTTCAAGTGTGGGAGAGCCATGCTTCGGCACAAATGGGCCGACTCGACCGGAGTTATACCACGGCCTCACAGAAAACTGACGTAAAGTAACCCTTGCGTTGTGTTTCGTCGTGTGAGTGAGGTCACCGGAAGCCCAATTACCGTCCCTTCCCCAATCCCCCCAATTCCTGAATCCCCAACGATCCTCAAACTCCTAATCCCGAAAAGGCCAGTAACGCACTTGTAATGCCTTTGGTGTTCCAGGTGTCCATGAGCAACGCCGATTGCTTACCATCAGGTGATCCGTCGCCATTTAACCAACCAAACCAAAGCCATTTATACCAAACAACATAACGAAAGATTTACACCTCTGACATTGAAAAATGAAGCCTTTTATTTGAGGCATAAAGTAGAAAAAACAACAACCATTCCAATTTCCCTCCTCATATTTCTGTTTGTGCTACCAATATGCGCTCACTACATAAATGATCACGCTACCAATGTTTTTGGCACATACAGAGAGGTAAAACGCCCCTGAGATATTAACTACTGAATTTTAATACGCCATACGATACATGCGTAGCATTACGCAGTACAAAATGTATGCTAGAGTGACAAGCGTACGCTATTTGCGTATTTCTACTCGTACCCGCGTATTTTTGAAGCAATATTTTTAGAAAGGTGCGCTTTGGTTGTTAATATTACATTGTAAGTATAATCATGGTTGTGAACTTCATATTTTAAGTCGGGCTGTAAATTCTATAGGCCAATACGTTACTTAGGTTATAGTAGCGAGGTTTCAAGGGTTTGATACTTCGGTTTTCTACTTAGTTAAACATATTTTTTATAGAAATAGCCAGTACATGTACAGACGGTTATCAGACAAATCACCTGATGGTAATCGATTGGCACCGCCCATGGACACGCAAAACACCAGAATTGTTGCATGTGCGTTCCCAGCCTTTTGGGGATTAGGAATTCACGGATTGTTGGGGATTGGGGGGGAGTAATTGAGCCTCCGGTAACCTTACCCACACGACGAAATCGAAACTTAACGCAAGTGTTGTTTCACGTCGGTTTTCTGTGAGGCCGTAATATCACTCCGGTCGATCCGGCCCATTCGTGCCGAAGTATGGCTCTCCCACACTTAATATAAATGGATTTAAGCAACATCTAGCAATAATAAATTCACCCCTATTATATAGAAACTAAGAAACTATAACATAACTAAAAAGTGAATGTTACAATGTAGGTAAATATATACTGCCTACACCATCTAGAAAACTTATATTAAATCTTAGATACGGAACAAAAGGACTCGAACAACGAGTAATACCTAGTTTCCTATAAAACATATATTATGACGACGCCATCAAACACTGTCGTCAAAATATCATAAAATCTTCTGTCGTTAAAATCTCGTAAATTGTAGATCACTTTCAAATTAATGATTTGTTCCTCTACTATTTGAGCTTAATATGCATTATACTAGCATCGAGTCTGTGGCTTCGCTTGCTTACAATTTTGGATATCTCTCGAGCCAGGACCCTCTAGGAACATCATCAACAGCCCATAAACGCCCACTGCTGAGCAAAACCTCTTCTCACACGGAGAAGGTTTGAGCATTAGTCACCACGCTTGCTCAATGCGGGTTGGCAATTTTATAAGCCCGGTTTCCTCACGATGTTTTCCTTCACAGTTTGTCGTTGGTGTCTAAATAATCTTAGAAAGTAGTGGCCCGGGTTTAAGACGCCCACTTCTCATGCATGAGGGTGCGGGTTCGAAACCTACCAACGGCAAGTACCAATGTGACTTTTTCCGAGTTATATATACTTTCTGAGATTATTTAGCCACCACTGACAAACGGTGAAGGAAAAATATCGTGAGGAAACCTGGACTTATAATTTTCTGATTATAAGTTTGAAATCGCCAACCCGCATTGAGCAAGCGTGGTGATTAATGCTCTAACCTTCTCCGTGTGAGAAGAGTCTTTGCTCAGCAGTGGGCATTTATAGGCTGTTGATGATGATGATGATCAACTTCCTGCGGAACACAACATAGTTATGCTAGATTCTAGTCTAGATCATAAAGTAAATCTAGGAATTTGTACAAAGAAGTATGCACACATAATAGTTTTATACAATTAAATATGTGTACATTATAAACGTATTAAAGTACCTATATAGATATATACATAAGTACCTAATGTAAAACTGTAATTGAAGTCATGTGCTCACTTTAGAATATGGTACGATGGGGTTGGCATATCCTTAAGGGATAATAACCCCAATAATACTTTTATTTATATATAAGTAAATAAAGATTAAAAAAATTATAAACGTAACAATCAGTTTTGCCAGATAAGGTATGTAGTCGAGTCTTATAAAAAAAAACAGCGTAATTATTTATTATACATCATTCTAAACTTAGAAAAAAACGAATAAAACCTGATTTCAAAAATACATATTTTACTATACCGAGAGTCTTAATTCATTATCGAGTTGTAACTAAGTACTAACCTCCAATCTCCTTCACAGGACTACAACGACGACATCAGACAGGAGCAGATGCTGGAAATGCAGATTCTGTCCTCACAGACCGAGCAGCGCCGACTCACTCCTCCCGAGTCCTCCCGGAGCGGCAGCGAAGAAGCACTCCCACTTAGGGATACGACGCATAAACAGAGAGTGAGTTATTCTTCTTTTTATGATGTTGGCCAGTCTTGAAAAATCTTTAAGATTGGGAGAATTTTAGTGGAGACCGTTAGAAATTCTTATCAGAGTGCTCAAAATTCATATCGTGAACTAAACAGTTATAAATATATGGACAATTTTCTATCTCTAAACATTAGTAGTTTTATTTATGTCCAACCCAATTTATATTTTTCAAAAAACACATGCTACACTTACATTCAAATACTCTTTTACAAAAAGCAAAATAACAGGCACTTTTATTCCGAAACTATTTCACGTTCACAAAAAAATCCCATATGCGTACCGCCCACGTACGAACGAAATCAAAATTGTTACGGAACACCCACGCACTCCACAATGGACCGTAGATTGGACGCGCCCTATTGACGGATAAGGGTCCAGTGATCCGTTATTAGGCCATTCAGAGCTGACGAATAAAAAATTATATTGATATCCATAAAGTTATAGTATAAAAATTGGTACGGATCTGCGAATGTCATGGGATGATAATAATATTATCGTTTTGAATTCACGTGTGGACACAATTGTGATTTATTAGACTATTTCCTTATAAAATCAGTTTTTCGTTTTGATATTCTTATTGTCAACGTAATATAATAACACGATAGATAGGTCATAGAGTATAGTAATACTAAAAAGAAATAGGTATGAGATAGGTATTCTCTGAAATGACAAGATTAAAGTGACGTAACGCCTAACAATACAGAATAAAAACTAAAAATAAAATAAAACCTAACAATAATATAACCTAACTATAAATAACCTAAGAATAAAACCACTGCTGACCAAAGGCGTCTTAACCATACCACACAGGAGGTTTGGGCATTAATCACCACGCTTGCCCAATGCGGGTTGGCAAATTCAAACTTAAAATTGGAAATTATAAGCCCAGGTTTTCTTAAAATGAGCCGCGGAAGACTTAACGGGTTAGGTAAGAAGGCTAACGTTAGATGGTTGAAGGGTCTGGAGTAGAAAGCAGTACTTCTAGACACGGCGCGTATTGTCCAGAAATTCCTCTCTCTGGAGCCCTGACCACTGGTAGCTTGGATTTCTCCCATTACGGATGGGCTACTGTTATTTATATCCTAAATGTTTTCGTAATAAAATATTTAAAATATAAATCAAGTATGAAAACGAACAAATATACAAGTTTATCTTCATTTTTTCAAATAAAATCTTTGCTTGCCTCTTGCACCTACCATTTACTCTTCTTTTTTTCTTTTTTTGTGTGGATCGAACACATATAGAAAGATAAAGTGTTTAAAGAGACATCTGGCGTCAAGGATTTGCATCTTCTCTGCATCACTCAAAGGTCAGACTGGGAGAAAATGCCTGCGACATTAAGTCCACCTTATGTATACTTTGTGCATGAAGCATATGAAATAAAAATAAATAAAGGAAATAATAATTATCATTTATTTATATTTAAGATCTAAGGCTTCTAGAATAAAATAAATTAAAAGAAATAAGTTTCGCTTACAAACGTAGTTTGTTTTTCAAAGAGAAAATACTTTGAAGTCAGAACGCTGACAAACAGCTGATTCAAACATGATTCAAGTGGCCACCGTCTCGTCGAAGTACTTGTGTTTAAGGGCACTCTAATTATGCGTAATGATTACAAAACGTTTTTTACTTTTAACCGCCTACTTCTTGGCAATTACCACAAGCACTTTCCCTTTAAAATAATGTAAAATGTCTTCCTAAGATACTGAAATTTCTGCTTATTATTATATGGTTTTTTATTGTAAACAATTTCACAAATACATCCGATACAGCAGCCGACCATATGCACGGCAATTTCTACTTTATTACCATTATGTTAATGTATATTGCCATTTGCCACCTAAAATCGTCAAACGTGCTGATGCCGATAGTGGGCGCCGGGCCTTAGTAGGTGTTTCAGTAACACTCATTTTACACCAGCTACAAATCTCCGAAGAACAATTTGAAATTGTAACAATTATGCGTCAAAAGTCGTTATATAACCCTAAACAAAATCATTACTTTCAAAATCACTTACTCATTCTCTTTACGCCTCCAGCTCTCCGGAGTGCCTCCATCTCCGGCGCCGGCATCTCTGCCTGGTGGCATTGCCATCAACCACGGCACCAACACTCGGGACTTCTCACCACCAGCACCGACACCAGCACCTGATCATTTGTCTGCTGCACATCATCAGGTAAGTCCAGAAAAATACTTATGTAGTAGTATGTACACAATACATAGCATGCAGGATAGCAAAATAAACATGTATGTCGTGGTGGTCCTGAGGTTTAAGACGCCCGCTTCTCATACACGAGGGTGCGGATTCGAAACCTACCAACGGCAAGTACGAATGTGACTCTTTCTGAGTTATATGTACTGTCTAAGATTATTTAGACACCACTGTCAAACGGTGAAGGAAAAAATCGTTAGGAAACCTAGGCTTATAATTTCTAATTATAAGTTTGAAATCGCCAACCCGCATTGAGCAAGCGTGGTGATTAATGCTCAAAACTTCTCCGTGTGAGAAGAGGTTTTGCTCAGCAGTGGGCATTTATAGGCTGTAGATGATGATAATGATGATAAATATAAACATTGGTTCAAAATCAGAAACCAATGCTTGACTACTACAACTTGGTTACAAGACATAGATTCGTTAAGCATACAATGGGGATGATGACAGGGTATGAAAATTAAAAATATAATTAGTCCGTAAGTTAGGTAATTAAAAAATATTTGACACGTATTTTTTTATTTTGTCGTATACGACAAAATAAAAAAATACGTGTTATCCAAGTACGTACGTTTTATCCAAGTATTGTTTTATTATAATAAAACAATACTTGGATAAAACGAATCAAGGTTTAGGAGTGGGGGCTAAAACGTCATTTCTTAGTATAAAATGTACTGAGAAGTGACGTCACGCGACATTTCAAATCAATATATCTTCGAAAGTATTCGTTTCCGTTAGAAAATAAAAAATACGTGTCTAATGTTTTTAAATAATCTACCAGACGGACATTAAAATAAAAATTAGTCGTCTACCCTATTAGGGTATTAATCTATATATATAAAATTCAAAGGTGATTGACTGACTGACTGACTGACATAGTGATCTATCAACGCACAGCCCAAACCGCTGGACAGATTGGGCTAAAATTTGGCATACAGATAGATGTTATGACGTAGGCATCCGCTAAGAAAGGATTTTGATAATTTCCACCCCCAAGGGGGTAAAAAAGGGGATGAAAGTTTGTATGAAACTTTGTCAGTTTTTAACTGATCGGGTTGAAATTTGGCATGCAGATAGATGTTATGACGTAAGCATCCGCTGTGAAAGGATTTTGATAATTTCCACCCCCAAGGGGGTAAAATAGGGGATGAAAGTTTGTATGAGACTTTGTCAGTTTTAAACCGATCGGGTTGTAATTTGGCATGCAGATAGATGTTATGACGTAGCATCCGATGTGAAAGGATTTTGATAATTTCCACCCCCAAGGGGTAAAATAGGGGATGAAAGTTTGTATGACATTGTCAGTTTTAAATCGATCGGGTTGAAATTTGGCATGCAGATAGATGTTATGACGTAGCATCCGCTTTGAAAGGATTTTGATAATTTCCACCCCCAAGTGGGTAAAATAGGGGATGAAAGTTTATGAGACTTTGTCAGTTTTAAACCGATCAGGTTGAAATTTGGCATGCAGATAGATGTTATGACGTAAGGCATCCGCTGAAAGGATTTTGATAATTTCCACCCCAAGGGGTAAAATAGGGGATGAACGTTTGTATGAAGCTTTGTCAGTTTTACACCGATCGGGTTGAAATTGCGTGCAGATGGATTATGACGTAAACGTCCCTTTAGAAAGGTTTTTGAACATTCTCACCCCAAAGTGGGTAAAATAGGGGGTGAAAGTTTGTATGATACTTTGCCAGTTTTAAATTGATCGGGCTGAGACTTTGCATGCATAAAGTTACTATGACATAGGTATCTCTTTAGAAAGGATTTTGGTAAATTCCACCCCTAAGGGGATAAAATAGGGAATGAGAGTTTGTATAAATCTTCTTAGCCGTTGAATTTAGAATCATTGAATCTTTTTGACTTACATTCGGTAAAACGATGATTTAGGACCTGGGTAACGTATGATAGTTTTTTCACAGATGTCTCACGAGAACGGGAACTATGCGTCAATGCCCCAGGACTCTCTAACTCTTAGCCACTGAACTTATTCTAGAGAGATTCGGTACAACAATAGTCGATAGAATAGTTTTTATTACTCAAACCTTACGTGATCGGGCACTGTATTGGTAAGATCCCTGTGGGATTATTTATTTATTGAAACTACGATAAATCATTTCAAAATAGGTAAATCTTACTTGGGCGCTGAATTGAATCTGGTTAATTCTGTCAGAAGTCATTAATCTACTTACGCGGACGAAGTCGCGGGCAACAGCTAGTTCAATATAAAACAATAGTTACTGTCTCTGAATCTTTATTTCCTTTCCGCCAACATAAGAACACGGTGTACTGTGTTCTGAGGGTTTAGAAGGTAGGTTAAACGAAAAACATACTCGGTTTTTCGTTTAAAGTAATCGAAACGAGACCGCGATGGGCACTTTGACTGGTTGGTTCATTGGAGCCGGCCAATCTGAACACAGACCCAGACGCAGACTATATGTCGTGGTGGCCCGGAGGTTTAAGACGCCCACTTCTCATGTATGAGCGTGCGTGACTTTTTCCGAGTTATATGTACTGTCTAAGATTATTTAGATACCACTGTCAAACGGTGAAGGAAAACATCGTAAGGAAACCTAGGCTTATAATTTCTAATTATAAGTTTGAAATCACCAACCCGCATTGAGCAAGCGTAGTGATTAATGCTCAAACCTTCTCCGTGTGAGAAGAGGCTTTGCTCAGTAGTGGGCATTTAATGGCTGTTTATGATGAATCTGAACGCAGAGTGTGTACTCGTAAAACAAACTCGTACTAAGACTTCAGTTTAACTCGTCGAGTACCGGTTTTATAGACACAATTAAAGAACAATAGGTCGCGGTCACCGGTGACCGCTTGGTGTTTGACAGATTAATGGTATTAACACAAACTATTGATCCAATATTGACTGCCTCGTTGGCCGAGTGGTCGTAAGTGCGACTGCCGGGCAAAGGGTCTCGGGCTCGATTCCCGGGTTGGACAAAGTATTACAGGGTTTTTAAAAAAAATTCAGTAATAGCACGGAGTTTGGAAATGTGTTCGGTATATGACAATAGGCTCACCCCCTATTACATGGGACTCATAACATAAATAGTGGAAAGTGGGTGTTACATGGTACAGTAGCATAATGTGCACCTCTGCCTACGGGTCTTCGGGGATAAAAGGCGTGATGTTATGTTATATTATGTTTAATGGTATTAACACAAACTATTGATCCAAACTGTCACCGCTATAACTATCTCAAAATGAATGTTACTGTACGAACAAATGCTCTGTCTTTATACTTATTATTTTAATCATTAAAAATGGAAAATCTGAAACCTACGAAAATTAATTAACCAAACAATCAACACTCATATGTTACCTAAAACACATTCAACACTAAACTCTAACCCTATAATATATAGGTCCACTTTAACAACTCCCACTAAGTCTTTAAGGTCTAAATTCCTAGGCGCAGTCTCTAATGCCCTATAGTTTATCGGTCAACTAGAGAGCTAGAAAGTTCCAAGTTTGTAGCAAATCTCTCGCTAACTAACTTAAGTCCGTCACTTATGCACGTACTGACAGAATGGAGCAACTTTGTGCTTGTTATTCCTGAGAGAATGGTTAAAATCGAACTTTGCTACAAAATTATAAGTCGGATTGTTAAAGTCAAAGTCAAAGTCAAAATCATTTATTTCAATTAGTCCAGGAAGGCACTTTTGAACGTCACAACAAAATATTAAATTATAAGAAAAATAATGTCAGTCTGTAGGTCAGGCCTCTAGTGAAGCTATTTGCTCGTTCCAAAGTGTAGATTCCTATGGAGAAGAACGAGCAGGAAACTCCGTTATGAAAGATGGCAATAATTTATTTATTTATTTTATACTTAGTACAGTAACAAATGTACAGGTGGACTTAATGCCTCGGGCATTGTCTCATAGTAGACCTTAAGGTGGTGCAGAGATGAAAGTGACAGGTTACTAAGCAAATATTGATAATAAATAACTATATTATATAAATACTCACTTAGTATTTTATCACAGTAGAAAATTTTACATCATGCCTACTATGTACGTTGTGTTGTTAGAGATAGCGTTCGTCAAAAACGATAGGTGAATAAACTTAACAAGCATGGCTCCGGCACGATGTGGTTGTAAGCGCGCCGTAATAAAAATATGTCACTATTTTAATTCATTATTTAAAAAAAATGTTGCCCCACACTAGTTATACATATATACCTTCCTTAAAAATTACTATATCTAATAAAAACACCGTTTTACAGATTTAAGCATACATAGGGACAGACAGACGGCGGATAGCGACTTTGTTTTATAATATGTAGTGATTAAAAAAAATAAATGCTGCCCCACACTAGTTATACATATAAATCTTCCTTAAGAATTACTCTATCTATAAACTAAAACGGCATCAAAATCCGTTGCATAGTTTTAAAGATATAACCATACATAGGGACAGACAGACGGCGGATAGTGACTTTGTTTTATACTATGTAGTGATAAGGAAACCAAACACATCATAACTGGAATAAGACAGGCACAAATAATGCCACTACTTACCTCTTCTGGGAACAATAAGTATGATTTTACAACGCACACGTGTAAACTTATTATAACTGCCCTCAAACAAACTCCTCAACCCTTAGACATAAAACCATCAAGCATCTTATCGTCATAGCTTTAGAGTCCATTTTCGCAATAAACCTATCTTCTAATTTGCGGTTTACGAAACAAAATAAGTCTTCAAAGATCGTATCATTAAAACTTTACTTCATTAAAGTACTAAACAATATTTGATCAAGTTTTATGGGAGACGGTACATGGGGAAACACACCATAACAAAAGTTTTTATGATATATGCATGTATACGAACATTTATGGTGTTTTTGAACTTAGGGGTACGTTAATGCAGCTTGATGTTGATGAAATTACGTCAAAGAATGCTTGCTACGGTCAGTTCTTCGATGGAACTCGTAATTTTGATAGTAATAACGGTCCATAAAAGCAGTAGAGGCGCTGGCTACGTCTTCGTAGCAGTATGCTACGATGTAGCAGATACCGTACTACGGCGTAGCAACTAAAAAGCCACCCCGTTACTACTCCTGCACTTCGAACCGGAGCTCCGGCAACCCGTTAAGTCCTCCGCGGCTCCGTATCGGCATCAGCCCTATTGGTGTGGTCTGTGGTGGTCTGATCCTTGAGGTGCACATGGAACGCGAAGCACCGTATGCACGACGTAGTAACTAAGCATACTTTTTATTTCGAATTGCTCATTGATTTAGAAATTGTAATGGACGAAAATCGTTTGTAGTATGAATAAAAATTAAAAGTATTTTTGACACCCAAATAAATAAGGGGTTTTTTTTCTGCACCTCTATTGAAGAATTTAAGCAAACCAAATTTCTCCACTAATAACCTACTGCATATCAAAAAAATGAACCGTAAAACAAAAATACTGATTTGCACACAAATTGTTGAATATTAGGTTAGGTTTTTTTTTTCACGACCTTAAGATTATTGGATAGGTTAGGTTAGATTAAAATTTTGTTGCACTCGAAGAATTATTAGATTTACTTTTAGTTAAAAGATAGTCATTCAGTAAAACAAGAAACAAAGTAAAAGATAGAAATTCAGTTTAGCTTTAAAGATTTAACAGTATAGTATAATTGATTTATTTGAGATTTAGTGTGCAATTCAGTATTTTTGGTGGTTTATTCGAACAATTTGATTGAAAAAAGGGAATTTACAATTAAAGTATTAAAAATTACCCAATAAATAATAGGTATAATAATGAAACAAAAATATTTAAAAAAGTTAAATATTTTTGTTTCATTATTAACGAGTATGTTTATAAGTTATATGCTATTAATAGATTATCAACATAACAAACGTAAGTCCACTTTCCTTTAAAGACACAAACAGACGAATATTAATTTCAACAAACCGTTTCAGTCAATGCATTCTTTGCTAACCAATTTTTCAAAGCGCAGATAACCGAAAAACGTATTTTCGAAAAATCCCACATTCTTTGACCAATACGCAATTACTTGTAGTCCACTCAAACAGACTCAACAAGAGCTTTCGCCTGAATACCTGAAACCTTTTTCAGATTCAGCATCCGAAAAAAAAATTCACTCCCAATTTTCACGATGAATTTTTACGTAGCTGAAAGACAGTCACGGGCCTGAAATTCAGTAGTGGTCGCCGTATTTATTCACAACGGGATGTCATAGAGGGCAAAGCCGTATTGGATGACTACTGTTTCAGTGAAATCGGATTTTTGGCTGAATAAAAACCTTTTTAGTCACTTTTTTCAGGGCACAAAAGTGTGTGCGAAAAATTTGTCTCTCTCATTCTGTTACCTATAATTTTAGGTCGAATGGTTAAATATTGGATTGTGTGTTAGGCTGTTCTGTGGTTATCGTCCGTTTGTATTGTTTATCAATAGGAAATATTGAATTGAGATTTTAAGTGTGGGAGAGCCATGCTTCGGCACGTATGGGCCGACTCGACCGGAGCCCACGGCTGAGCAGAAATCCGACGTGAAGCAACGCTTGCGTTGTGTTTCGTCGTGTGAGTGAGGTTACCCGAGGCCCAATTACCTTCCCCTTCCCCAATCTCCCCAATGATCCTCAAACTCCTAATCCCCAAAAAGCCGGTGACGCACTTGTAACGCCTCTGGTGTTCCAGGTGTCTATGGGCGACGCCGATTGCTTACCGATTGCTTATGGGTGATCCGTCTGCTCGTTTACCGGTTTATGCCATAAAAAAGATGCATTTTATATTTTAAGTGATTATATTTTATGTGGTTATATTATTAAGTTCTGTGGTTCTATGCTATTTAGGAAAGACAAGCTGACCCGGCAAACTTCGTACCGTCTTAAATTTTTTTCTCTTTTTAAACCTTCTATGGACTTTCACGAACGTTTCAAGACCAAAATTAACCAAGTCGTTTCAGACATTCTCGTGTTTTAGCGAGACTAATGAACGGATATTCATTTTTATTTATAACATAACATAACGCCCTTTATCGCCAAAGGGGTACGCAGAGGTGCACATTATACCACTGTACAATGTAACACCCACTTTTCACTATTTATGTTATGTTATTTATTTATTTATTTTACATAAGTACAGATACAGACGACAGATTGAAATCGTACACAACAATCTTAATTATAAATAGTGAGCGAACCTGAAGTCCAATTACAGCTGTACATAACCCACTTATATCAAATTACATAACAATTCCCAAATGTTAATCCATTTTTCTGTAATAAATTTTGTTCAATTCTTGAAAACTAAATACTAAAAATTACTAAAAAGCGGCTATACAAGAAATCAAAGGTAACAAAAGGTACAAAGGGAACAATTGAGTGAGCGAACAACAAACCTGAAACAATGGCGTAACGACACATATCATGCTCATCGAGTTTATGGGTCCCATGTAATAGGGGGTGAACCTTATTGCTTATTATTTTTATTTATACTGGTACTTAATTCATTATTTCATGAGTTGGAAACAATCTATAACAGTATCTGGCGCAAAAAGAAATTACAGTCTTTTTTAGTTCAAATTAACGACAACATACATACAATAAAATCAAATTAACTAGGAAATTTATAACTAGACTATAATGACCTAATTACGTACCCACTTAGGTACGATTATTGCAAATACCAACAATCCTTGCGCCATACTAATCCTGATAAATTTGTCCACAGCTGGCAGCTGGTCACACGGGACACGGCGTGCTAGTGGGAGGGGGAGTGCTGCAACAACCCCCCACTCATCACCTGCTCACACAAAACTCTATACTTGGTAAGTTTAGATTTAAAACTATTTGTATTCTAGTTCTAGTTTACTCTTTCCGACCTCCTAAGAGAGTTCTTCAGTTTTAGTAGAAGAAAGAAAGAGAAAAAATATGTTGCCTTGAATTTATTTCGATCCGTCATAGACAGATACTTGACATTATTATAGAATTAAGTAGTTGTTACTGATCAAAGGAAAACATAACATAACATATGTTATGTTATTATATATACGTAACATATGTTATGTTATTTCAAAGGAAAACAAGTTTAAATCACTGCCCAGCCCCCTAACTATCTCCTGACACAGATACCATAATGCCATGAAACCGTTTCGTCACGGCGACGTGAAGAAAACACACTCGCATCTTCTATATCTATATCTACATATATATGTATCTATCTATACATAATAATATAATAAAATCGTAGAAAAGTCATAAGTGTATATTAATTTTTGTTTTTAAATATACTTTGGTCATGATTTATAGTCCATACTGAAGTCAAAATATGTTTTTTAGAATTTTTGTCTGTTTGTCTGTATGTATGTTCGGGATGATCTCAAAAAGTACTGAATAGATTTACTTCAAATTTTGTATGACTATTACTAACAGGTCAAGTCAACATATAGGCTACATATTATCACACTATCCCGTATGGGGTACGCGCAGAAAATCACTAGTCCACGCGAACGAAGTCGCGGGTACAGCTAGTGTATAATATCAGTCGACATGACTTCAATACGCTAGAGTACTCTATTCAACAATCAAACTGAAGCTTACAGTATAATTAATATTCCAATTAAGATTTGCGGTTCATAACCTTCAAACCTTCAAGAAAACAGCGTATTCCTTTTTAAAAGGCCGACAACGTCTGTGATTCTTCTAGTGTAACGGATGTCACTTACCATCAGGTGATCGGCCTGCTCGTTTGCCTCCTATTCCATAAAAAACACGTAAATTCTAATCAAATGTACGAATACGGCTACATTTACTTAAAGACATGACTTCACTGTCTACATAGTATAAAACAAAGTCGCTATCCGCCGTCTGTCTGTTCCTATGTATGGTTAAATCTTTAAAACTACGCAACGGATTTTGATGCAGTTTTTTTTAATAGATAGAGTGAACTCTTAAGACAGGTTTATATGTTTAATACATGTGTATTGATCCCGTGCGAAGCCGGGGCGGGTCACTAGTAAGTAATAAAATCTTAAAGTATATTACTAATCTTTAAGCAAATAATCTATACGTTTCATAAATAACGCGAGGGTATCGAGTACTCCTCATCATTGTGTTGAAAAAAGCCATTACTGCTCCTAAATCTATATTGAGTTTGACAGTTTCTATCCAAAAATACTTGTAAGAAAATTCTCCTGACACTTTCCAAGATTATTTACAAAAGCCATTAAATAAATTCTTTTCAAAGTTATTTTGACAAAAAATCTCTAAGGAACGTCTGAGTTTAACAAATTAGAATTAATTTCCACAGTACACTAATGACTTCAAGTGTAGTCAGCAAAGATTCAACATGCAAACTAGTTTATTTCTCAACGGTCTACCAAACTCGACGGTATACTTACAAAACAACGGTCCATTAACTTTTAAACAATTCACAAGGAACTTTTCAACTACTGATCATTAGTTGCAACGATACTTTCCAAACTTAAGCACAGTTCAAAAACTAAGCACAAAGTAACGCTCCAGAACTAAGCTTAGAATATATAGCGTATATTTGAACACAAGAAAGGTTAAATAAGGGGTTTCCGATATTTTATTCTGAAACTTTTCTCACTGTAAAAAATAAACAACGTTATTTTAAAGCTTTTGTTTCAGTCTCTTTTCGTTTGTTTTTTTTTATTTTAACAGTGTGTGTAATGCTTTTAAAATGTTTGAGTTTTATTATTTTGTATGGACTGCATTCGAAACTCATCGTTTTTATTTATCAATAAACAATATCTGTTAATTAAAACGATAACTAAGTAATGAGTTTGCTTTACGTATCACTTAATTTGTTCGTGCAAAAAATATTATACACCCGGGTATATTTAGAATAATTTATAACTACATGCTATATTTACCAATGTTGTTCGTATTCTACATAAAAGTAGGACAAAACATAACATCACGTCTTTTATCCCCGAAGGGGTAAGCAGAGGTGCACATTACGACTCTTAATGACTGCCTCATTGGCTAAGTGGTCGCAAGTGCGACTGCCGAGCAAAGGGACACGGGTTCGATTTCCGGGTCGGGCAATGTATTACTGGGTTTTTAGTAGTGGCACGGAGTCTGGAATTGGGCCCGGTATATGGCAATAGGCTCACCCCCTATTACATGGGACTCATAACATAAATAGTGAAAAGTTGATTTTACATTGTACAGTAGGATAAAAATATAGTCACAAATATACAGTTTTTTCGGTTCAAACATTAATCAGTATAAATATAAACCATACTGACATCTAGTTATAGTTAGTCTGTCATACACTTGGGTGCACAGTAATAGAACCACTAGCGTTTTTTTTTTTTTATTTTATCGACATCTCTACTACTTTAAAAAATTCCTTTTACAACAAAATGCTCTTATTTTAAAGGTAACTAAATTGCTTTTTATACGACATACGTTACTAATTAACCGTCAAAATAAAAACAAAATATTAATAATAGATTTTATAAAAGAGAAAGCAGCATGGAGCATTTTTTCTTATGATCCACCGGGTGCTCATAAGGACGCTCGAGGGGTTAATAAAACATGTATCAGAAAATATTTCATCAAGAAATGAAAAATAACAAACGCTAGTGGCTCGTTCCTTTGTCCCGAAAAGTATTTTAATGTGACCGCTCCAAGACATAATTATCAGATCTAATCCACTAACAATACCACACTTAACAAATAACAAAAGCCAAATTCAGTCAAAACTAAGCTCACTAACGTCAACTAACCAGGTGGTGGCGATATCCTCGGGCTGAGCAGCCCAGTGCTGGGCGGCGTGCTGCACGCTCACCCGGCGCTGCGCGGTGTCAAGCCTGCCGCCGTCCACGCGCTGGCGACACAAGGTCGGTACGTCGCACTTTATCTAGCTCCCAGATATTATACATTTCATCAATGACTAAGCACAAATAATGATTGTCCAGAAGTAGCCCCATTTTAATTTTGGGTGTTACGAAACTGAAATTGGATCTTTAAACTGAGAGCTTCATAAAGAATGCTAGGCTATGTGTTTTACGTTACTTTAAATGTTGTTTTTGTTTATTATATAATTTCCTCGAGGGTCCTTTGAAACTATGCGCTATTGAGCTTACGATTTACGACTTCCAGTAAGCGAACTAAGCTCATTCGTGACTACAAATCTTGGTAGAAATCGAATAAAGTTTTGATTAAAAACTGAACTAATTTCAAAGCACTTGTACCCAGTCTCAAGCAGAGTTAGGTCTAAAAATCTTAGTATTTATGAAATGCCAAATATTATTCTAGAATTTCCATTGTATAGAGAAATTTTAAGATCTATGAGTTTATTACAATTTAAGCATCTTTGCTTTGAAACTTAAACGTCTTTGTTTCAAATTAATAAAATAACAATGCCTAGTCTGAATTTCAAATTTCAGCTCGTTACTTACATTTGAATCATTTATTTGGTTTGATATTCTGAGATGTTATTGTTAGAATGAAAAGCTGGGGCAAGTTGCTGAGCGCTCAGTTTTTATTTTCTTTATGAGAAATGGGGAAAACTGTTATTGCTGATCAGCAAAATACCTGAAGATTGAAAGAACACCCTTATAAACCGTCGATATTAAACGAAACCCTCAAATTTATACGCCACTTAACCCCAAAATTATCTAAAATCCCCCCTCAAACAGGAACATCGCAAATCTTTCACATAACAATCCATTCATTCATTCATTCATTTCTATGTCTAACAAAACATTCAAAACACTGACGTTAGCTCGCCCAAACGCGAAAATCACTTTGATTCGCAAAAACCACACACAACGTGCCCAAATTAAAGCTCAAATTTCCGAAAACCAATTAAGCTCAGTTCGGAAAACAGAGATAGCCACAACAAAGCTCAGTTTCCGTATTTGTTTTCATCTAAAAACTAAGCTAATTGCTTAAGACCACTTGGAACAAAGACAGGGATTTAATTGAAACGTCTGAGACCACCATCCCTTAATTGAAAACCGTTTCGGAATATACCGTTGAATATTGTAAAGTTTAAACGACATCTGAAGGGTTGGTGGTTGGTGCAAGTCTAAAGTGATGGAGATTTTAATTGAAACCTTTGAGGAGGTTGGAAAAATGGTGGAGTAAATGTCACTTAGAAATGATTGAAGCACCAAAATGTCAGTGGGTCATTTATGTGTGTGTGTGTGTGTAATTGGTTACCACGTTACCAGGCTTAAGAAAATGACAGATGTCCTTCGTGTCAATGTGTGCATGTTCTGCGTGTAAGTCTATAGTAACCAGGTGCCACAGTCGTTGTTTCAAGGGACTGTGCCCACCTTGTTTTAAACGTCCTTGATTGAAAGTGTACCCGTTGTTTAGTTTTCTTGGAAAATGGTTTGCAGTTATTTTTATTAAACGATAGATTTGACTGCTAGAGGTAGATATATCACGTACGAGAATACATACTGTACAGTGCAACCGCACATCGTAGATCACCTTCAGCATTTACGCCTCACATTCATTTCATTTTATAATATTAGTTAGTTCGCGTCAAACCATCAAGTCAGGCGTTCTCATAACGGCCAGCTAAGGCCGTGTCACTTTAACTTTTTATTATTCGTCTAGATTATTGTACATTAAATTAAAAATTGTGGGAATATAATTTTGTAGCTATTTCGTGAAAGAGTGAAATACTTATGAAGAAACTAGCTGTTGCCCGCGACTTCGTCCGCGTAGATTAATGACTTCTGACAGAATTAACCAGAATCAATTCAGTGCCCAAGTAAGATTTACCTATTTTGAAATGATTTATCGTAGTTTCAATAAATAAATAATCCCGCAGGGATCTTACCAGTACAGTGCCCGATCACGTAAGGTTTGAGTAATAAAAACTATTCTATCGACTATTGTTGTACCGAATCTCTCTAGAATAAGTTCAGTGGTTAAGAGTTAGAGAGTCCTGGGGCATTGACGCATAGTTCCCGTTCTCGTGAGACATCTGTGAAAAAACTATCATACGTTACCCAGGTCCTAAATCATTGTTTTACCGAATGTAATTCAAAAAACTTCAATGATTCTAAATTCAACGGCTAAGAAGATTTATACAAACTCTCATTCCCTATTTTATCCCCTTAGGGGTGGAATTTATCAAAATCCTTTCTAAAGAAATACCTATGTCATAGTAACTTTATGCATGCAAAGTCTCAGCCCGATCAATTTAAAACTGGCAAAGTATCATACAAACTTTCACCCCCTATTTTACCCACTTTGGGGTGAGAATGTTCAAAAACCTTTCTAAAGGGACGTTTACGTCATAGTATCCATCTGCACGCCGAATTTCAACCCGATCGGTGTAAAACTGACAAAGCTTCATACAATCGTTCATCCCCTATTTTACCCCCTTAGGGGTGGAAATTATCAAAATCCTTTCTTAGCGGATGCCTATGTGATAACATCTATCTGCATGTCAAATTTCAATCCGATCGATTTAAAACTGACAAAGTCTCATACAAACTTTCATCCCCTATTTTACTCCCTTGGGGGTGGAAATTATCAAAATCCTTTCAAAGCGGATGCTTACGTCATAACATCTATCTGCATGCCAAATTTCAACCTGATCGGTTTAAAACTGACAAAGGCTCATATAAACTTTCATCCCCTATTTTACCCCTTGGGGGTGGAAATTATCAAAATCCTTTCACAGCGGATGCCTACGTCATAACATCTATCTGCATGCCAAATTTCAACCCGATCATTTAAAACTGACAATTTCATACAAACTTTCATCCCCTTTTTACCCCCTTGGGGGTGGAAATTATCAAAATCCTTTCAAAGCGGATGCTTACGTCATAACATCTATCTGCATGCCAAATTTCAACCCGATCGGTTTAAAACTGACAAAGCCACATACAAACTTTCATCCCCTATTTTACCCCCATTGGGGGTGGAAATTATCAAAATCCTTTCACATCGGATGCTTACGTCATAACATCTATCTGCATGCCAAATTACAACCCGATCGGTTTAAAACTGGCAAAGTCGCATACAAACTTTCATCCCCTATTTTACCCCCTTGGGGGTGGAAATTATCAAAATCCTTTCACAGCGGATGCTTACGTCATAACATCTATCTGCATGCCAAATTTCAACCCGATCATTTAAAAACTGACAAAGTTTCATACAAACTTTCATCCCCTTTTTTACCCCCTTGGGGGTGGAAATTATCAAAATCCTTTCTTAGCGGATGCCTACGTCATAACATCTATCTGTATGCCAAATTTTAGCCCAATCTGTCCAGCGGTTTGGGCTGTGCGTTGATAGATCACTGTGTCAGTCAGTCAGTCAGTCAATCACCTTTGAATTTTATATATATAAGATTTTAGACAATATTTTATTTAGCAGAAAATCGCTAGATTTTCATGTCTTGCACGGCACAGAGGGGCCTCGTAAATTGAGCAAACTTGAACGATTCGTCTAGACGTCATTTAGTTGTGTTTTATAATAGTGCTCAGTTGCATTTTATTACTAACATTAAACTTAATTGTTTGTTTTCAACAAGATAAAGGTTTTAACTACGGATTCATTGGAATTAGATGACGTGGATTTGCATTCAATTTTTGAAATGTTGTCTTTTATCTATTGAAGTAGTTTTGTTTTTATAAAAGTAATTACGGCTTTATTGTTAGGGTGTGTCCACATCTGGTGAATGCTCCGCGAATGCGCAGCTAAGATTATTATTTATACGAACCTTGTAAGAGTTGAGCAACAAACTATTGCCGTGACTGCACGCGCAGCTCGCGGGCAGCCCGTAAACGGCTCGCAAGCGGCACATTCGGCAGATGTGGACGCACCCTTAGGAATTATTTTTAATATTCTATTATAGCGTCTCTTTTAACAGATGTTTAGATTTCACTTAAGGCAATAACGTAGCTGCGATACTTTCTTCATATACCTCTAGAACACTATCAAGTTTCATTGCAAACATTATTTTGCGTCTGCCTCGTTGGCCGAGTGGTCGCAAGTGCGACTGTCGGGCAAGGGGTCTCGGGTTCGATTCCCGGGTCGGGCAAAGTATTACTGGGTTTTTCAAAAATCTCAGTAGTAGCACGGAGTCTTGAAATGTTCCCGGTATATGGCAATAGGCTCACCCCCTATTACATGGGACTTATAACATAAATAGTGAAAAGTGGGTGTTATATTGTACAGTGGCATTAAGTGCCGAAATGTGCACCTATGCCTACCCCTTCGGAGATAAAAAGGCGTGATGTTATGTTTGTTATGTATGCATTATTTTGCATCTAGTAATTGAACTGTAAACGTCATTTGACCGAGTCATCTTAATACTAGGACTCAACTATTCAGGTTACTAATGCAGGCATACATATAATAATTATACCTCTAGTAATATTCTACTTGGCTTCCCAATCAAACCAGACTACAATAATATTACAATATATTAATTAACATCAGTCAATCTCATTACCAGTACAATACAATACATGTGTTGTATACAATAATACTAATTAAATTTAGCTGTATTAAGACAAACAAGGCAGCTTACTGACTGACTGACTGACTGACTGACTGACTTGCACGTATTGGATCAACCACAGAATAATTACGAGCGCGCCACGTCATGAGCTGTGACTGTGATTGGCTAGTTAATTATCCTATTGGAATTGAATCTTATACTTCTTATACTATTATATAAAGTGGAAGAGTTTGTTTTTTTGTTTGTTTGTTTGTTTGAACGCGCTAATCTCCGTAACTACAAGTCTGATTTAAATAATTCTTTTTGTGTTGGATAGCGCATTCATCGAGGTTGGCTATAGGCTATAAAACATCACGCTACGACCAATAGGAGCTGAGCAGAGCGTGTGAAACCGCGCGGAAGTAGCTAGTAACTTATATTGTCTTAAGCTATTTAGTCATTGTTGGTCTTTTATAATAATTGAGAAATAAAAGGAAAATGGTTTTCGTTTTGTAAATGTCGAAAGTTTTCTAAAACTAATCCCTTCTCGAAAAAGAGGTCTATTTGGGTCACCATATCACAAAAGTGTCCAGGATTGGTGTAGTGTGACAATGCTTTATTTGAAAAAGTTATATTCGTTTTCAAAATATTTTACTGAACAGAATGATAGCAACATTACCCTCGCATAGTTGTATCTATGACTTTATTACTCCCAGCCCCCGAAGGCAACGACACCTTTCACAAACTTGAAAAAGATTACCTCCTACCGTCATAAAATTATCTCAGTGAAGAAAGAGACAGTCATATCACAGTATAGCTATCTCTTTCACAAAAAGTTTGTAAAACGTGTCGAAGTCTAAAGCCCAAACTATGACGTTGCAATAGGGTTGTCAAACCAACTTATTATGTGTCAGGTGCAGCTGGGCCGGGGGCTGCGAGTACGGCGCGCAAGCGACCACTGCTGGGAGGCACTCGGGCCGCTATGTCACCGACTAAACGCGCCGTGATGACCCTACTGGCGCGCGCTAGGGCTGCGACACACAAACACGCGCCCACGTGGCCGGCGCCCCACGAGTGAGTATACACCCTACATTAGGGCTGCCAGCATGGTGTGACAAATTAACAGTTTCCCTTTCTATATAGACCGCAGCTGACATACTACTCAGCCTATCCCAGTCCGCTTCTGGATATGAGCCTCTTCCAAAAAGGGATGTAGATAATGTGAGTATTTTATAGTTAGTTTTTTGACTCATGTGGGCGGTTTGATGCTGTACAAACGTACAGCAAATATAAGCAAGTTACATTGATGTAAAATTAAGAAAATAATAACAAAAACCACAATTTTATATAATTCCTTTTGAGCACCTGCTCCAGTAATGAAACGCCAATTTCTAACACCTACCAAATGTAAATAAGGGTTAAGGGAGTCAATCTTAGCACTCGTGGTTTTGTGTGTCCGATTGCCCTAATTTAATCACTTGCAAATTGCCTGATTATTTTAATCACCCATAGAATTGGATAGTTTCCTGGGTCAAAAATTTCAGTTCAATTAAATATTGAAAAATAGTTACACAAATTAATGAATGAATAATTTGCCGATATACTTAATTTTCGATTTATTCGAGCATTGTTTTTATATATAAGTGTACTATTTTACGCAAAAATATGATGACGTCATAAGATGGTATTTCGTTCAAAATTCATAGAACATATAAAGTATTAGCTTTTACCCGCGGCTTCGCTCACGTCACAAAAGGATAAAAAGTAGCCTATGTGACATATATCAATACACACAAACAAACAAACAAACTCACTTTCCGATTTATAATATAAGTAAGGACAAGTAAGGATAAGTAAGGATTGAACTAGCTGTCAACTGCCTTATTATAAGATGTAAGATGATTTGATGAAGATCTCAATTCGAACGCTTGAAGTGAGCTCGATCGCGGTCCACCATGTCATTGGTTGTGAGAATAACCTCGACCAATGACGGACGTGAATTCGCTTCGAGACTTCGAATTGACACCTTAGAGAATATCCTAGCTGAGTACATTTGTTAACACCCTTTTAACACATTTATCAGAGGTCAAGCTGCAGCACACTCTGATGAACCTAGACCTAACTAATAGAAGTCACCTGGCAAGCGCGGATATTATGATAAACCTCCATAATGTAGATAAAACCGTACTCAAAAGTGACGTCATGCGATATTTCTAAATCAATATATCTTCGAAACCATTCGTTTCCGTAAGAAAATAAAAAATACGTGTCTAATAACATAACATAACATCACGCCTTTTATCCCCAAAGGGGTAGACAGAGATGCACCATTATACCACTGTAAAATGTAACACCCACTTTTTACCGACTTCAAAAAAAGGAGGAGGTACTATGTTCGGCTGATTGTTTTTTTTTTTTTTGTTTGTTCGCGCAGTACTCCGCCGTTTGTGGACCGATTTTGAAAATTTTTGTTTTGTTTGAAAGGGTATACTCCCGAGATGGTCCCATTTCCATGAAGTCAGGATCTGATGATGGGATCCTAGAGAAACCGAGGGGAACTTTCGAAAATTCTATGGGGGAGTAATGCGTCTATTATGTTTTTCAATTACGAATTTTAAACACTACAATTTGATAAGAGTCTGAAGTCGACCTGATGATGGAGTCGACAGACAGTCGAGGGAACTCCTCAGCGGTTTATATTACCTACCTTGTGTTTGGGCTTGATTAATTTGTATTGATGAGGACTTTACACCTAGATAGAGTGGGGCTGTCATTAAGGGTCTGATGATGAAGAAGTGTAATTGTTAGAACTCCTCAACGGTATACAGTAACTACCTTGTGTTTGGGCTTGATTAATTTGTATTGATGAGGACTTTGCACCTATGTATATTATAAGTAACAAAACGGGTATATGTAGCTTTACACTGAAAATGGTAAAATAATAAAATAAAAACTGCGTTTAAAAAACCGACTTCAAAAACCAAAAACTAATAACAAACAAAAAGTCAATACTAAAAAGCAAAAAATAACTATTATTAGTACTGATAGGTTACCCACCCACTGATAGGTTAGAAGTCGGTGCCATAAGCTCATATCATAATGATATAACTTAATGTCCACATAATTGTGAATTAGATACCTATTAAGGTTTTAATGAATAATTTTGTATGGAACTTATGGCTTCTTACCTATCAGTGGGGGGGTAACCTATCAGTACTAATAATAGTTATTTTTTGCTTTTTAGTATTGACTTTTTGTTTGTTATTAGTTTTTGGTTTTTGAAGTCGGTTTTTTAAACGCAGTTTTTATTTTATTACTATTTGTGTTATGAATTCCATGTAATAGGGGGTGAGCCTATTGCCATATACCGGGCACAATTCCAGACTCCGTGCTTCTACTGAGAATAATTAATAACCCAGTAATACTTTGCCCGACCCTGAAATTGAACTCGAGGCCGAACTAGGCCAAAGTGTCTAATGTTTTTTTTTCAAATAATACACCTTTAGGGAACAGAGTGTATAGTTCCCTAAGATCGGAAAAGGAGGATCCTCCGACCAGGCGAGGTGATCGTGCCTGGCGGGCTTTCTGCCCAACGGTTGTTAGTTGGGATTTTCTATCCGTGTTAAATCGAATGTAAACTTTGCATGTGCGATGTAGGATTCTTGTGACGTCATCCGTTGACATGTGGCATGCGTCGCCACATCACTCCCTCCCAAGACCGGAGGTCGATCCCGCTGAGACGGCTGTCGATGCTTGAGATGAGCGGTGCCAGAGCCAGTGTAGAAAGTCCCTAGTTCCAGTGAGTCGGAACTGTGCCGCTGAGTGCCCAGTGAGTCGGGTGAGCGGTGCAGGGCGATACTCCAGTGAGTCGGAGAGATGAGTTCGCAGTGTCCCACGTGAGTCGGGAAGAGATGCTGCGAGGGTAGGTGCGTAGTGGCTGGCGTCTGCGTTGACGGGAGGAGATGTCCTTCAGAACCGTGTGCAGAAGTGCTGTGCCTAGACGCTGGTGAGGCCGTAGGGAAGAACCAGGCTGCACAACTTCGTTGCAGGTAATGGTGGTCCCTGATGAGGCCGAGGATGCTGGTTGGCTGCGACTTGATTACCGCTCAGCGGAGAAATGATAAATGAGAGGGATGGCGATACGGATGACGGTGCTAATCTGCTCCGTGAAGTGAAGGTTGTTTCCAATCACGTCGGGGTCACCACTTTAGGGAACAGAGTGTATAGTTCCCTAAGATCGGAAAAGGAGGATCCTCCGACCAGGCGAGGTGATCGTGCCTGGCGGGCTTTCTGCCCAACGGTTGTTAGTTGGGATTTTCTATCCGTGTTAAATCGAATGTAAACTTTGCATGTGCGATGTAGGATTCTTGTGACGTCATCCGTTGACATGTGGCATGCGTCGCCACACACCAGACGGACATTAAAATAAAGATTTGTCGTCTACCCTATTGTCGCAGGCTGTTGATTGATAATGTCAACTTCGTACTACAACTCCTGAGAAAATTAAATGTGATAGTAGTAGCAATATTTTAAAACAGTAAATCACTTAGGTAATGTCGAAAAGACAATAGAATCCGACTTCAGTAACTTCAAACGAAAGTACTGTCGGAATGAAGATACATCGCAGCTTTATATTGTGGTAATAAATCTTATAGCATTACAGTTTATTTAATGGTACAGTGAAAAGTATCAAGATCTCTTTTCGGTACAATACAACATAATAATCTTAACTCACAAATACGTATCCATCATCAATCATCAACAGCCTATAAGTAGCCACTACTGACCAAAGGCATCTTCTCACACGGAGAAAGTTTGAGCATTAATCACCACGCCTGCTCAATGCGGGTTGGCGATTCCAAGCTTATAGGTAATTAGAAATTATAAGCCTAGGTTTCCTCACAATGTTTTTTCTTCACCGTTTGTCAGAAGTGCCTATATAATCTTAGAAAGTACATATATGTAACTCGAAAAAGTCACATTGGTTCCTGACGTTGGTAGGTTTCGAACCCGCCTCACGCCTCCCGCCTCACCCGGGCGGGAGCAGTCATTCGATGATTTTCCCCCCTTAAAATAAAACCTGCAACATGGTTTTGTATAACAAATATGAATATTAAAAGTACCCTTAACTGACGAGCATGCATGAAAAGATTGATAACTGTTGATGAAGCGAAAGAGGTATGTAGAAATCGTAGTAATTGGCGTTCTCTAGTCTCTGCCTACCCCCAAGAGAGACAGGCGTGAAGTTATGTTCGATGTATGAATGTTAGAGTTTACCTTTTCGGAGCCGCGGAAAGCCTAATATTGCCGGGGCTCCGGCTCGAAGAGCAAGAGTAGAAACGGGATGGTTTTTAGTCAGTAAGAGTCTGACACTCCCTCTCGCCTCACCCAAGCGGGAGAAGTCATTGGATACTTTTCCCCCTTAAAAAAATATGTGTTTACCTCTTCATGGAACGACGTGCATCTTGATTTTCAGTTTGTCAAAGCATAGTTTCTACTTGGCTAGTTTCCTAGGTTTAAAATAAACTAGCTTCTGCCCGCGACTTCGTACGCGCAATCCCATTCCCCCCCCCCCGTTCCCGTTCGTGATTTTTGGTAAAAGTAAAAAAAAATATTAGATAAAAAGTATCCTATGTCCGTCTCATGGTTCTCAGCTACCACCCCGCCAATTATCATCCAAATCGATTTAGTCGTTCTTGAGTTATAAATAGTATAACTAACACGACTTTCTTTTATATATATAGATTGTTTCAACTTCTCAATGCAATAAATAATTTCAAATTTGGATTTTTTCTCCTAATTTATAAATAGGGAAATAAGTATGTATGCTGTTTTATGCAGAAATACGATGACGTCATAAGTAGCGATCCAATACAAAATTCATAGAAAAGTATCGTTTTTGACATTTCAATAAAAGTATTGAATTTGACTACCTGTCAATTACCTGAAAACCACACGTTAAAAAAATAATGCCACACATTGCTAAACCACTGTCCAGTTTACAGGACAAAGATACTTATAAAATGGAATGCGTCGATGTATTACAATTGCATAAAGAGGCTGTAACTTGTGCT